GAGAAAGAGAGATGTCGTAAAGGTGGTCATGCTCCATGCACTTTTGCGGTGGCAAATGTCATTGTAGCATGACCACCTTTACGACAACCTAACTCATTGCGATGTGTGTGTGTGTGTGTGTTCGCGCACGTTAGAGAGAGAGAGAGAGAGAGAGAGAGAGAGAGAGAGAGAGAGAGTAAAGATGTTGTTGACATTTTTGCGGTCTCGTACCGGCAGGGAGCATGACCACCTTCACATCATTCATTCGTATTATCTCCGATACATGTACAATCATACACTGACTTATATGAAATTCGACACGTGTTTGATTGTCGTCAGCATACATGAAAACAACACAACCCCCCTCATCACCTCATGTGTGATTCCATACCGCAAGTCTCTCTCTCTCTCTCTCTCTCTCTCTCTCTCTCTCTCTCTCTCTCTCTCTCCTTAAGGAAGAAGAAAAAATAAGCATGAGGACGATATGTTTTTAGCCGAAATGAATGGCTATGGACGAACAGAGAAGAGTCGTGGTCATGAGGGAAAAAAAAATAATAACTCTCCTCTCTTTTTCTGCGTCCTGCTGACGGTGCAATAAATACTGATCAGCGATGACGATAGACTGTCGATGCAGATCGCTGTTGAAGGTCGGACTACGGACTGGTATGAAATCCCACCTATGACACCTAGGTATGTCTTTCTCTCCCTTCTGGGCATGGCCTCCGCCAACCCTTCCACTCTAGCCTGCTCCTCCACTCCTCCAGCGCTGCTCTACGGCTGTTGTCCTGAAAGTGGTGCTGCTCCCATCGAAATCATGCCCAACTAACTTCAGCTCCAACATCTATTTCTCTTTTTGTTTTTTTCTCATTTTTATCTTTGCCGCGACTTTTTCATACCTTGTCAAAGGAGGTGGCGCTACATTGTTTATTGCTCTATTCTTCCACCTATCGCTAACATCATCATTCCGTATCAGAATGACAGTGTGAAGATCCTTCGGAAGGATTGTCACACATCCAGCACAAGATGCTACCAAAATAACATCTTCGAATAATCTTATCATCCACTGCTCAGAAAACTCGTGAAGAGCTTGGAGTGCAATAAGCTGCATGCGAGCAGTTTCATCTCTCTTCTGTGTAAGCTCGTGTACAAAACGATAAAACGCTGTCTTCGGAATCTGAAGCTTCTCGATTTTCTGCAGTCTTTGAATTTCTTGCAGCCGTGCTTTGCCTGGAGGCATCATCTTCTTTGGTTTCATACTTGCTTTCTTTGCACCAGGCATCGACACAGCCTTCCCAGACTGTTGAGAATCGATGGTCTTCGGTTTGGAAGCTAACCTTTTCTTTCCCCGCATTTCGGAAGACTGTTTGACCTCTTGAGCAATGAATTGCTTCACTTGTGCATCAATCCCCAAAGATGTTATGAGGGATGTCATGTCGGTCAAGTGTGTCATTCCGTGTGGTTGGATGAATGTTAGCAGTCCATTGGTGTAAGTCAAAGTGAAAGGGATACCAAGTGGATCAAAGAAAATCATTTCCAATCGGTCCGACTCGGGAAATTTCAGTGGACACTGTAGAGGTACCCACCCTAAAAGCGCTGAAGATCTTGTATGGTCAGGAAGATGTTCATAAAAAGATTGTCCCTCGGACCGTATCACGACTGTCGATTTTAGCACCCAAAAATCATCATCAAAGATCTTGTCATACGCAGCAGTGAACATTTGTCGTTCACTAACAGCAATCTTCTCAAAGCAACACCTAGCATGCTCCTCTATGACTGTTGTATCGCCCACCCCGGCATTTGCGAAGCATATTTTCAAAAGGATGACCAGGTAATGGAGATGACTCATCAATCCTTCCGGGACACAGCCCAATGAAACCCAAAAATCATTATCCCCGCGTGCTGCCATCGTCCATTTCCCATTATATTGCGTTGGATGCAGTTTCCCTTCCACCCAATTCACAAAGTATCCCCAATTGTTGTTCACTTCCAGGAACATGTCACTCTGTATAATTGTTTTGGACACGTCGCAATAAGATGATGCTCCATCTGAACGACTGAGAGGATCCCACGCACACTCCAACAAATTCGAATATCGCTCCCAGGATCCACATACATCAACCACACTGCAATCGTGGGTGGCAAATGAATAAGACCCATCACACGCAAAAGACGCATACAACTCATACGGATTGTGAAAAATAGGCCAATCGTCTATCAACCTCAACAATTTGCGAGACAACAATTCTCCCTTGCTATACGTTGCCTCCCAATAGTTTCCCACAAGATCTAACACGTTCAGAACGATCTTCGAACCAACAACAGGCAATTGAAAAGGAACCTATCCGTATCTTGGATCTCTTCTCTCATCCTCCTCATGTTCTATTTCTACATCCACATTTGACGTGCACCAATTCAACCCGCATTCCACATTATCGTAAAAGAAATCATTTAACCTCAACAACCCCTTCGCAAGCAAGGACTCGTGAAGATGGCCAGCAAAAGTCATCATTCCTAACCCGAAAGTCATATGGGGATTCATTCGAATGACGCAGTCAAGGACAATGCAATACGTAAACATGATATACACGGTTTTTGGAATTGTCCCAAGCGACACCCAACCCTCATCACAACCCTGCATAGCAAAACAAAATTCACCGTCCCTCACTCCTGGTTGCAGCAAGTCGGCCTCCCAATTTACAACATGTTTTGTGTAATTCGGTGGACGAAATTGCACTATGCCCATGTGAATAGGCGCACACGACGGAATTGTCTCTCCCTAAAAGAATGGGTGATTTGAAGTGGCAAGGTTAGTGAGAGCAGGCCTTTGTGCGAAATGCATTCGGTGTTATCCCGTGTGAACAACGTGACAAGAGTCATGGGAGAACAGTGAATGAGTGTTGGTGGCAACGGTGCTGGTGTGCCTTGTATGTAGAGTATATGCGTAAGAACCAATGCCAAAACGAGAAGATGATCGGTTAAAGACGTCACGAGTTCGGAGCCAACTAATTGGAGTGAGGGTTCGGAGAGCCATTGCGCGTTGTGAAGGGAAGAAAAAAAGGGGGAAATGAGGGACTGCGCGTGAGTCCAATTTTTCTCGCTGATGACGTTGTTGATTGCTTGGGAGTCAGTTCTTGGCTGGGACCAACAGTATCGGTATGGGAAGTTGTGACGAGTGAGTGTTCGAATCGAAGTTGTGTGAGAGAAAGGAGGGGCGGTATCATCTAGAGTGCCCCTGATGCTGCCAGACCATTTCCTTGTTTGGCATTGCCTCTCTCGTCTTCTGCTTGCGCAAACGTGATAGTGAGAGAAGAGGTGGTCTAGTACAGACTAACTGTTTTTTTTTTAAGGCTCATTACTCTGTAAGGGGTCGGACGTTTTCGTCGTTATACTGTTTCGGTAGTTGTTTGCCAGTTGGCCATTGTATCAGTCAATAAGACCTATGATGCTAATCGTGTGTGAGGGAGAGAACTGAGTCTTCTCCTTTGGACAGTCGCGTGTCGACTTTTAAT